CCCCCCCCCCCCCCCCCCTCCCTCCCAACCCCACGCACAGTCCAGAGTCCGGATGGCGCGACTAAGGTCAAAACCCTGCTCCTGCACCAGTAACCTTACGTGACCCATGAAGTCGCTCTCTTCAATGCTTATCAGATTCTCCCACACAGGAGTCAGCGCGCCATAGAGTATAATAGTGCTGTTAACTCATTATTAGCCAATAACTCCATTATAGCCCCATAAGATATATAGACGTGTTAAGGAGAAGGAAACAGCTGGTTCAGACTGAAACAGTCTGATTGTGCCTGGAGCAGCAGCAGGTCATTACCTATTATACAACAACAACAAAAAATCTGCATTTTTTTTACATTTGCATTTACAAAATAGAACAAAGGAAGTTTTATTTAAGAAGCGGATGGAGAAAAATTAACAACAGAATTATTTAGGACTAACGGTTTTAAAATGAAACAAATATATTCCACATGATTGACAACCACTTAATCTTTGCAACGTTCACGCATTTTACTGTGAAACATCATGTCTTTCCTTAGTTTTAAGAAGAAAAATAGACAACTCTGTGTGATTGGTTGGGCAAATATCAATGGACACTTTGAGTAATGTCCACATTTTGTGGGCCACACAGAGCTAATGGGCAAGTTGTTACTTTTAATTCATTTGGGACCTAGCCTGGGAAACAAACACGTATATTACTATTAGAATCACTATTAATTTAAAAAAATAAGTAAAGAATAATAATAAAAAAACATGGAAAATCACCTCACATTTTCTGCATCGATATTAAACTCAGCAAGAGATAGCTGAGAAAAACAGGCATGAACTCATCATTTACAGGATTTCTCAATCTTTTTGTTGTCACTAAAACATCCGTGGGGAGGGGGAGTCAGCGCAGAGAAGGAGGCTGCACTGCTACAAGTTCCAGCTGTTTCCGTGCGCCTGTCACTGCTCATTCTGACAAGTTCAAAAATTCAAACAAGATGTAGTCTCCGCTTGTTGCACCAGGTATTAAACCCTGACTCGAAGTCTGGATTAAAGTTACTCCCTGACAGTCAGAGAGCAACTTGGACATTCAAATTTGTACAGAGAGTAAAACCATAACCTTTAAATGTTTGGTCTTGAAGCTGGTAGAGGCAGGATGACTTTGGACTGAACCTCTTCTTTCTAAGGATCAGCAGGGTAAATTACACTGTTATGTTGGGCACCTGCTTTTATGCACGGTGTTTTTAATCATGATGTATTTCTTCCTGTTAAGCACTAGGTGGCTGAAGTATAATCAGCAATTTAGGTAGAATATGTCTCCCATGGGCACAATGGCATACAGATTTATATGAAGCTGGGTATTTTGGGTGTGTGTATATATATATATATATATATATATATATATATATATATATATACTGTATGTATATGGATTATAGATGATTATGATCTGTGTTGCTTTGCTTTTACTTTACTTGTTTGGAAGGGATCCATACATGCCATGACACAGGACCACCTTCACCCCAAGGTACCAATTCCTGCCCTGGGGCGACATGACCTTTTCACCTCTGATCCACAAGTTTAATCTCACTGCACAATATTCATGTAATATTCTGTTTTTAAGTGCAAATGGATAGATGGATGGATGGATGGATGGACAGACACATGGACGGATGGATGGGTGGAGGGAGGGAGGGAGGGATGGATGGACACATGGGTGGATGGATGGATGGGTGGATTCTGTAATTTTTCTGTAAGATTATCTGCATGTCTTCAACTCACTGTTGTATTTAGTTCTTACCTTTTTGCGCTGTATTAATGACAGTTTTGACTCTAGAACTAGACTTCAGAACACAGGCAGCATCAACACAGATGTCCCACTCTCCTCCTCAGTGACATCAGTCTACTACACTGCTCCACAGCTGCTGGTCACGCGTGGAAACGCATGAAGTAGCTGAGATGGGAGGAAAGCAGTCTGACCCTGAACACAAACCCAAAAGTCAGTACACTCACCAGACCAGTGCAGAGGCTGAAGACCGCCGGGTACTCCGACCTGGCGTTGACGTGTCCGCGGAAAAAGCAGTGTCGCATGTCACTCTGGTCATGCAAGTCCAAGTCCGAGTCGGAGTCATTGAAAGACTGCGCTCCCAAGTGTGTGACGCTGTAAGAAGGGGCGATGAAGCCGGAGTCTGCGCTCAGATTCAGATGAAAACGTTCCCCGAATGCCTCAAGCCTGTAGTGAACCCGTAGACCCGACAGCTCTCCTCCAACATTTTTATTGTTGCTGTTCTCATTAACATCATCGGTGTTTAAACTTCTCCGTCTCCTCCTGTAGTGCAGCGTGTGTGGGAATGATTCTCCGTAGTCATTGACGCGGAGCGGGCTGATGATTTCAAACGATGACAGCTGCTTGATGAAGCTTTCTGCAAAAGAGAAAAGTTGCGATTCAGACACAGAATAAAGCGTTCAGGGTCAGAGCTGCGGAGTGGACAACCCTGTCTTCTACCACACACACCTTCTACCCTGGCTGTACACCTGAATCAAAATAAACCTCTACCTTGTTTTGGATGCAGTCTGTGTTGCAGAGTATCACGGACAAGTGCTGACAGATGACACATTAGTCCAACCAGCCAGATTGCAAACCGCATGATTTCCTGACCCGGATAATCCCGGGCTGTGTTCTCTCCAAGACAGTTCCCTCCGTGTCTCCCTCACGGCTCTACTACTCCTTCTGCCCCGCTTCCTCTCCCTTCTCCCGGCTTGTCAGCAGCAACAGGTTGCGGGCTCTGCGGAGCCTCTTCGCAGCGCAAGTCCTGCAAAGTGCACTGGCCTCATTGCATTGCTAAACGTGCATCCACTGCCCTCGGTGAACTCCGACCGTTTATGACACATTCATCTCCACTGATGAGGAATAAAATGCTGCGATAATTTAAACTGCAGCCTATGCTTTAAGGAGGGATCTGTGCCAAGTACGCTTTCTCTTAGCCATCCCTGGAACACCCCATGGACCCGCACCACTCAACAACCCCAGAGCAACGCCCCTCGGAGCTGAGAGCCAATGGTGGCTGCGTCTGCACCACCACACATGGGGAAGGTTTGAGTGCTGCAGTGTGAAGGAAGCCAAGAATCCAAGCAGTGTCAGCATGAGTAAAAATCAGCTGGAGACCCAAAACCCTCTCATAGTCCGGGTTCAATTGTGTCGTCAGCTACGCTCAGTTAAATGGTCAGGAAACTTTTTCATTAAACATTTGTATTGGCCAAAGTAAAAGCGTGGTGTTGTGCAGCGACACTGCCCTCACTCTGTATTTTCCCTTTTTTTACTCATTCTTGTGCATATGGACAGAACAGATCTTGGTTAAAAATTTTACCAGTGGATCTCAATCCAGTAGAGGCCAGTAATACTACTCAAAGGAATTAGTCTCCATGGCCTTTGAGACAGTGGAAAGATGAAGAAATCAAATGTCATGTGAATGGGATCAGATGAGGAAAAGATGGTGACGGAGGGGTTTGAGTGCCCTAACCTTAAGGCCAATTTTTAAAAATAAGCATGTGTGAGGAATTTCCGCAGGTACTCCGGTTTACTCCCAAATCCTAAAAACATCATGCAAGATATGTTATTGTTCAATCTAAATTGACCACAGGTGTGAATGTCTCTACATGTTGTCCTACAGTAGACTGGCTAACTAAGGAAATAAAGTATGTTGATATTTCTTTCCCATTTTGGCGGCCAACACCACTGTTGCATTGGAAGGAGAAGGAAACGAAACATTTTATATACATTTATCTCTATATATATTATGTTATTTGTAGTACTTTTTTGTAGTAGATAAATATAACTCGTGAGAAAATATGAGGCCCTCACAGAGGGCATCATGAGCCATTCTTCAGTGTCATCTATTGGCGGAAGGAGACTTCTTTGGCCACGATGTGGTCAGCTTCTCGTTAATCATTGAGCCACGTAAAAGTCTTACACAAACTTGACGGACGTGTGAAAGGACTCTTTTTTTTCCATGTCCTTTGAAGACTAATGTTACAGCTTTGTGAGTGATTAGCCTCGGTGGGCTCACCGGAAACACTTCTCCATCCTGCAAGGCCTTTCTTTGATGGAGAACATCAAGCTTCCAAGTCATGGCTATTACGTCTTTAAAGCCTCTCTCTCTCTGTCTCTCTTTTCTCACTCTCACTTTCTCTCTCTCTGTATTGAGGGTGTTTATCGACATTTCTAACTATAAGTTACAATGAGTGTCAAAAGGAGCCTATTACAAATATTTGTATTTTTAATCAATCGTAACAAAATGTACAAACATTTTGAGATCATCAAGTATGAATGTTGAAGTATGAATGTAACTGTGATTAATCATGACTTTATTATTCACAGTAAATGACAACTAATCTTGATTAATTATGATCTTGTTTTTCATGAATAAATAACATTTTTCATTTCAAGAACACATTTGCAGAACATGCAAACTCCATACAGAAAGAAAGATCAACTGAATCACTGACAGTGATCGTCTTGTTCTAAAGCCAAGCCTTCTCACATATTTTGCCATTTTTTTCAAATAGCATGTCTTGAATGTAAAATGCCTAATATGTCCCTGATGTGTTTTAATTCTCTCTCCCAGACTTCTGTGAGCCACTTCATTCTGCTTTTCTTTTATAATTACCATCCACAAGTAAGACTCTCCAAAGCACAATTAAAAATATGACAAAAAGACTACAGTGTGTAAATCAGATCTGGAATGATTCTCTAGGCTACAGTCTGACATAAAGTCCTGTAAAAGTAGTCTTACCTATCGACATTAACTTTATATAGCTAAATGAAAACATATGTCAGGACAAAATGATTAAAAGAAATATATTGTTTTTTAAGGTACAGTAATGATGATCCTCAGAGGTACAAGTTTTCACTGCAGTCAGATAACCTGCTGGATTACGTGCTGCTTGGCACTAAGGCTCCAGAGCCTCAGGCTATCACTTAAACTTCCATTCACCTACTCCGTCGCTTGCTATCACATTTATCACCCATACATCACATTTTAAGGTTAGCACTGTGATTCCACTGGATAGCTCATTTAGGGTGACTCCAGCTACCCACATGCTCATTAATGCTACGCAGATGCCCAAAGTTAATGGATAAAACATCCTCAATTTCTGCCAGATGTAGAGTGAAGGCCCTGAGCGTGAGTCAGTTTCGATCCTGGGTCTCTGCGTTGCTGAACCCCCCCCCCCCAACAAGAGGCTAAATCTGTCTTGTTGATAAAAATCCTACTATATCTTTAAAAATATATACACATTTCTAGTATCTTATGAACAAAACACAGCAGGACATGCTAGACCCCAAACTATATGAGACGACTGCTTTGTAGATCAGATGGTAATGTCTTAGGGACCGGTTTAAAATGTTAACTTTCTCATTGCCCTTAATAAGCACTACGGACCCTGTGGGCTCATGGTGACCCGTCTGACCCGTGTGATGGAGAACCATACCATCCGTCTGATTGAAAACTTCAATTTAAAAAAAAAATAGAGCTGTAGATTAAAACATCAGCCAGGATTTTAGTCAATGTCTATGCATCTATGACATGAAAGCCTGTCTGCTGTACATGCTCACACATGTTTTCAGATGAACAACAGGCTAAAGTGTGCTTAGAGAACCCTGCACAGGAGAAAAAATATGGCCGGGGTTTTGGTCCCCTTATGGGAGCAATCAATTGTGGTGAACCAGACATCAGCAGAAACCATGCATCAAACAATGAACATTTGATTTTATGGGTCGTGATGGGTTTCGGTGCAGACCATAAACATTTCAACCTTAAGAGTATTTTTTTAACAAGTTAATTTTCATCAGTTTATCTATAACTGTTAATCTAAAACAGTTAGGTTTCTGCTTTGATTTGAATTTGATTTAAAGTTCCTGAATGGGGTTTTTTTTTCTAGAGAATTGGCTGACCTTTAAATGAGACAGTAATGGTATTGATTTTCTGTTCTTTTCTATTACTTTTTTTATTTTTTGCTCGGTGAAAAGAAAAACATCATTGACACCATTGAGGTAAACTATGTTGGATTTAGCAGCCTTTAGTGATGAAATTAGAATTTGTTGTTAAATATCTATAAATGTATTATACTTGGTGAACTAAAGGGTTTATTGAAATGAAAACAACAAATAATAATTGTGTTTGACTGGCTCATATAGCATCACTAAATTAGAAATGATGAAGAAAATCCCTAAAATTTCAGCTGCATTTTTTTTTTAAATCTTTCCTTCCGTTTCACAACAAAAGCTGCTCCAGTCTCTCTTTTTCACACGATCCACTGGATTTGAACTCCCCAGTCACAACAGTGATGTTTACCTGCTGATATACATTATAGGGCCCTGTCTTTAACAGCCACTCCCTGCAGTGTTGCAACCCCTGCTATCTCTATACACACTAGCTGGTGTGAGTGGTCTCCTGTGCACAGTCTATTTGACCGCAGCGTTCAACTCCTTGTGTGTGAACCAACATCGAAAAGTTGCAATGAATGACAGCATAATGTTGAGAAAGTTGATGCAAGCACAATCTAATAACCAGTACACGCTCAACACCCTGAATCAGCTGAGGATGGATTTATAAAACCTGACTGATGTGTAAACACCAGGTTATTGAGTCACTCAGAGGGACTATAACACGGACACACCTCCGCTTTATGTCCTATCTCTACTCCCACCTACACCTCCTCCTCCTCCGACCATTAAGGTGCCTCTCACGGTGAACTGATCAAGGAGTCCAACCACCTGAGACCTGTGTTGGCTTGCACTGCAGATTAGGACACCCATCCCCCAACTCCCACCCCCCTTGTATGGCTACAAGCAAGATTCATAAGCCGATGAGTTCCAAGTGTCCTTTAAACACAGCGGTCTGTCAACTTCTTTCCTGCTCCCCTTGAGTGAAGCATTGTCTGTTGGAGAGCTGCAGACAGCTGAACAACAATGCCAGAGCGCCACTCTCTCAGCACTCCACTGAGAAGTGTCCCACTGGAGGATCATCGTGTTACAGCTAAATAACAACACTAAACAAAAAGAGATTCCTTCCGGATGAAATAAATGAAACAATCCAGTTATCCGTTCTGAGGTAAAGTGTTGTGGCAATATGTGAGGACATTGCTAAAATACAAATCCATCCATTCCTGTGAGGACATTGCTAAAATACAAATCCTGTATTTTGGCAATCTCTTTTCTTGGCATGGTCAGTGTTTATATTATATTTGAGGTCATTTTATTAGATATGCTTTACAGAATGGTATGTCCTGGTCTTGGGACCACCAAATTAGACACTACCAGGTTTACTAAACTGTTCTAATTTCCAAAACTTTTAAATTTGATTTACAATTTACAATTACTACTGGTCCAGAAGTTTGTGAAGCGATTGCATTGAGATGCAGACCTAGGATAATTCACAACACAAACTGAACTTTGCCTGCTCTTCACAGGGGGAAGACAAAACATTTTAAGCTGAACAAATGATGAGAAGTCTCTTTAGGTATTTCCATCATTACAACTTGTCAAGTACTATGTCAAGCTGAGCTACATTTAATTTTGCAGAGCAAAACTAAAAGACAATTTTAAACTTCCAATTCCAACTGTGTGAAAGTCATTCCCAAAAAAATCTACAAAAAAAAAAAGAATGGACCAGCCATGTCCAAAAGAGGTCATGTCCAAAACAAACTGAAACATTACCTTCCGGCTAATAAAAGTTCCATTTGTATAACACTATGATGGCAATCCAAGATGAACGTGTTTACTGGTGTGTTTATATGTAGGTTACTACTGGGATTAAAGGGTTTAAATTCAGTAGTTAGGTTTAAGAAACAGCAGTTTTAGTCTTTCATTATATCACTTCATTCATATACTGTTTTTAATAAAAATCATTTTCTAGGTACAACATATTGAGATGTTTTTGGCTAATTCTAATTTGGAGGCAAATAGCATAGTTAGCCTGCTAAGGCTGTCAGCCTCTTGGCATTTCCATTACTGTTTGTGACAAGTTAGTGCCTTTTAACACTTGTCAAATCACATTCTCTAATAAGATGATGAGTACTTACATACTGCATAAGTACTATGTTTTTTGCCACAAGTGGATTTGTCATTTTCTTCATCAAAAGAAAACACATCTCTAGAACATCATAAAGTCACATCATGTGAACATCTGCTTATTTCCACTCTCCGCATCAGGAATTGTATATCGCTCTACTTCAACTAATAAAAATATATATATATATAATTTTGGATTGGTAAAATGTGTCATTAAAGAAGAACTGCGGATATACAGACCAAATTTATTGCATCACATGATGTATCAATTACTCTAAAACTGGTAGACAAATCCTGCAGTCAACTGACGTGAACTCATGTTTACTGCTGAATCTGACTTTAAAAAGAGCCGACACCGTCAGGGTGGGACATCTGTAGTCAGGCACACAGCACATTAATAAATCAGAGTTACACAGCGTTGATGATGATGATCTCAAGAGAAGCTGTGTAAGAATATCACAACACGTCTGCTACACAAGTCGTGTGACTGTCTGTGAAAGATTAAGTTTCACTGAGAAGTGTATTTCCCTGCAACAGTTGTCTCCAGGCAGTCCTGCATCAATCCTGATGACAGAAGGAGAAGACTCCAGACCAGACAGCATGGATCATGTTTTGGTTTTGTTTTGTTTTTTTTCTGTTTACTCCAGAAGTTGTAAATAAGTTTTAGAAAATATTGTGTCAAAGAAACCCTAACCTTGTACGATGACTTCAAGCTGCTTCTAACCTTAAAGGAATCAATCTAGGACCTCACATCTCCAACTCGGTGACCGCTCACCACAAACGGCCTGTTCTATCCAACCTTTTGACAGCTTTGTATTTTTGTTGTTGATAATTCCATCTATGTAAGTGACAGAAGCCCTTCAGCAGACAGCTGTTCAGTGTGTGTGATATTAACAGCTGTGGACTTAAAGCAGGCAGTGAGTCATGAGAGTCGACAACAGTCCAGTAGGAGTCCTTGGATCTCCCCAGCAAACCACTAATAGTACTCATAAAGTCAGAAAGGCTGTGTCCAATAGCAGAGAATAAAGATGATGGATGAGTGGTCTAAAACCATGGGTCCATGAGTGATGTTGGGTATGAATCTGAAATTGAAATTGCTCATTTAAATTAATGCCACTGCAGTTGAATGATTTGAAGAGAGTCTTCCTCTTTGTAAACTAGTTACACAAACACAGACAACTGCTGTAAACATGACCAACAGCTGTGGTTCTTGTACGCTTTGGACCAAAGTTCTTCAACACGGGGTCGGCAAACCATAGGGGATCCATGAAACCCATGCAGGGCTGGTCCCCAATTGGTGGAATAGACAAATTTAAATACTTTAAATAGGCTACCATTAATTACATACTGTTAAAAAATCAAATAGAATTTCTTGTATGCAGTGGTATCAGGTGACAGGTATTCTTATATATAATAAGGTACAACAAATTGTAAAAATTACTCATGAAAATTGTCCAGCTACGCTTCACCTCTGTGTTGTGTCTTTGCTTGGCAGGTGCCTTTGGAGAGATTTCACCAACCCTTCGTCAAAACCACAAACTGATGTCATTTATTTTAACACACCTCTTCCCCATGGTCTGCCAACGTTGTATTATTCTTTCCACAGTTCAGTGAGATATAAATCAAAGGTTGATTTGTAGATCACTTTGATACAACAGATAATATTATTTCTGCTGTTTTTGAGGTTACCATGCCTAGATGATGTGTGTTCTGTTTATACACGCACGCACACACTCCCACACACACGTACACACATACATAAACACGCTAATGAGGTTTGGCATCATCCTGGGCCAGTGTCAGTTTACTCAGCCACATGTCAGTTGATTAAGATGACTACACTTTATGATAAGATTGATGACTTTGTCTGTACAAGCAGTACAACTGCATGTACATCCTATCACGTAACAAGATCCACTAGTCAACTAGCAATTCTGCACTCATCTATTTAAAAGACAAAAAATTAAAGGGCATGGTTCTGTAATACTCCCCGAGGTCCACGCGCTGGACAACTGCTGTGCTATTTTTGACCAACAACCAAAATAACGGTGAGCTCAAGCGGGTTAGAAATACTGTAG